CACTTCTTAACACTTTGTTGTAGATACTTCTAGATGTGTGGTGTTTTTTGTTGTTGTTGTTTTTTGTTTTTTACATCCACTGGGTATTGCTTTTATTGTATTTGTTTATTTATTTTAATATATTTTATTGATTTTTTTTTACAGAGAGGAAGGGAGGGGGAGAGAGAGTTAAAACATCGATGAGAAAGAAGCATCCATCAGCTTGGTGTTTCTCTCCCTCCCCTCTAAAAAAATAAATAAAAACATTTTTAAAAACTTACATGTATCATACATCAGAAAAGTCATGGGTAAGGGGAGAAAACAAAACAAAAGACTTTTTTTTAAATTTAAAAAAATATATATTTTATTGATTTTTTACAGAGAGGAAGGGAGAGACATAAAGAGCTAGAAACGTCAATGAGAGAGAAACGTCGACCAGCTGCCTCTTGCACATCCCCCACCGGGGATGCGCCCGCAACCAAGGTACATGCCTTGACCGCAATCGAACCCGGGACCTTTCAGTCCGTAGACCGACGCTCTATCCACTGAGCCAAACCGGTTTCGGCAAAAAGACTTTAACGTGAATAGAAAGTGAGAAGCATAGAGTGTTTTACGAAGTGTAGCTCTGAGGCTCTGTGTGAGGATGAGGAGCAGGGCTCAGGGCCATTAGCTGGCCTGCCACCCAGTCCCCTCTGACCCCGCATCCTCGGCTCCTGGGGGAGGCAGGAGGCGGGGCTGAGGGAGCCTGGCGGGTGCTCTGGGCTGGGGGGCTGGGCCCGGTGAGGAGCCTCTGGCTGCTTGTTCTGGAGACCTGGGAAGAGGGGACCAAAGTCCCCACTTACGGCCTTAGGGGAGTTAATGTGTAATATTTTAGGAGATAAGCTGGACCGGGAGGTGCGACCCTGAGCCCCGGCCTCCAGGCCCTGAGAGCCGCCTTTGGAGCAGCTGCCATGTCGGTGAAGATGCTGGTTTCTCCGCTACCCACACCTTTACCCGATGGGGATGGGGATGGGTTGGAGGGGAAAGTGTCACGGTTGCCCCCTCAGCGTCGTGAGGAAGTTGGACAGATGGTCTCCAAGGCCCTTGGCATCCAAGCTCTCTGCATCCTCCACCACCATCCACCATGCTGAGCCTGTCTCTTCCCCTCTCTGGCCTTAGTTTGCTCATCAGTAATACATTCCTTTTTTAAAAATATATTTATTGATTTTAGAGCCGAAGGGAGAGGGAGAAAGAGATAGACACATCAATGATGAGAGAGAATCATTGATGGGCTGCCTCCTGCACGCCCCTACTCGGGACCAAGCCTGCAACCCTGGTACGTGCCCTTGACTGGAATCGAACCTGGGACCCTTCAGTCAGCAGGCCAACGCTCTATGCACTGAGCCAACCCAGCTAGAGTGAGTAATACATTTTTCTATTTCCTTTTTCTTCACATGGCTTTCTCCTCTGTGTGTGTTTCTGGCTTTAAATTTCCCTCCTTTTCTAAGGTCAACAGTCCTATTGGATTTAGGGCTCACCCTAACCGATAGCACGTGGTCTTAACTTGCTTACAGCAGCAAAGACCCAATTTCCAAATTGGGGCTCCATTCACAGGATCCAGCTGGCCTGATGTTTGGGAACCTTTTGGAGCCAGTACAGGTGGGGTGAGAGTGGTGTGACTGGAGGGTGCTCTCTGCCTCTCAGGGGGGACCTTGGGGCCCAGACACTCTCCCAATGTTCTTCCTCTCCTGGACACTCACCCGCTCCCTCTCTTTCCTCCTCTCCAAAGACCTCCTAGGCCAAAGTCTGTTATATTATAGACTAGAGGCCTGGTGCATGAAATTCATGCATGGTGTGTGTGTGTGTGTGTGTGTGTGTGTGTGTCCCTCAGCCCAGCCTGCAGCCTCTCCAATCTGAGACATCCCTCTCACAATCCAGGACTGCATGCCCCTAATTGCTTATGCCTGCCAGCCTGATCACCCCTAACCACTCCCCTGCCAGCCTTATCAATGCCTAATTGCTCCCCTGCCAGCCCAGTCACCCCTAACTTCCCTCCCTTGCCAGCCTGATAGCCCCTAATTGCCCTCCCTTACAGGCCTGGTCACCTCCAACTGCCCTTCCCTTCAGGCCTGGTCACCCATAACTGCCCTCCCCTGCCAGCCATCTTGTGGTGGCCATCTTTGACCACACGGGGGCAGCCATCTTATGTGTTGGAGTGATGGTCAATTTGCATATCACCTCTTTATTATATAGGATTATAGATGGGGCAACCGAGGCCCAGGAAGGGGCACAGCTGGCCTCAGGTCACTCATATAGTTAAGCACAAAGCGGGCACTAGACCTGGACCCCCCACCCCACCCCAGCTTTGCCTCCCGGTCTCTCTCCGGGCCTCAGGCTTTGTTGAGTGGAGACTGGGGTGCTGAACCTGTACAATCCCACAGCATCCCTCTTGTCCAGCTGCCCCCTGAGCCGGGCTCACAGGAAGTAACCATAATGAAGGTCGCCCCTCAGTTTGCTTAGTCTGTGCCAGGCCCTATCCATGCGTGCGGACACACACACACACACACACACACACACGATCTTGAATTCTCCCAACCATCTTGAAGGTGGATGACTGCCCAGCCCCTGTGGGCCAGGTGCCTGTACTGAGAGCTACACCCCAGGACACCACCCTCTTTACCCAGCTGAGGGGCAGGAGGCCAGCCTTTCACCACCTTAGACCAGAGGCAGCCACCAGGGGGCGCCAAGGGGCCTCGTTTGCACCCTCTCCGTTGGAAGCAGACATTGATCGGCCGGGAGGGTTGCCGCTCAGCAGGAGGCTCCTGTGTGTGTAGAACAGCGTCAGCACTTCCTGGCACGGACCAGCCTCACCTTTCGGTTGGGGAGGGGACAGGCAGGTGCACGGGAAAGGAGCCAAGAGAACACTCACGCCTTTCTCCTACGTGGGGCCCTCAAGGTGGCAGGGAAGTGGGATCCCGCTGTTCTGAGCCCTCCCACTCAGGGAACTCCTAAGGTCTCACCCGGGCTTCTGGAGTGATTCTCCCCGAAGTCACACACCCTTGACCGCACACGTCTAAGGACAGGGAGCTCCCCGCCGTAGGCTGACAAGGGTTTAGGGTCAAACGTGATAGGTCTTCAGAAGCAAGGACGATTATCTCCCTCAGCTGGACCTCCATTTCAACCCACCATTGTCTGCAACTCGCTGGAGGGCAACTGGGGGCAGGAGCAATGGGAAAATCACTTGTGCTTCAGCCCAGGGTCAGAGGTCACGGTGAGGTCACAGGGGAAAGGGGCCTGAGGACAATGTCAGAGGGAGAGCCCAGATGGTAGGGAGCCCTGGGCCCTACCTTGGCCCAGTCCCAGGTGCCTCCTGCCTCCCTGACATGTTCCGCCCCTGCAGTTCACCATGACCTTTGAGTGACAAGTTCAAGGTGAAGAGGACAGACAGGCACCAGCTGACCTTTCCCTACAGGCTGGGCCACAGCCCGCTGAGCTCCCTGAGCGCGCTGGGCGGGTTCAGCCTCTCCTCCTCCAACGGGAAGGGCAGAGCCCTCGCACCGGCTTCCGATTCCGAGCTTCTTCCCGGCCACACGGGACCAGCAGGCCCGGGCCCTGGCTCCCCGCCCAGTCCCTGCCCCTCTGACCCCTTTCCTCCCCCAGGGCTGAGCCGAATTCGGAATCCACCTTTGTCCAGCTGGTGTGGCTCAGTGGTGTGAACCAGGAGGTCACTGGTTCAGGGCACATGCCCCAGTTGCAGGCTCAATCCCCAGTAGGGGCATGCAAGAGGCAGCCGATTGGATGTTTCTCTCTATCCTTCTCCCTTCCTCTCTCTAAAAAGAAATCAATAAAAAATTAAAGAGACGAAACCAGTTTGGCTCAGTGGATAGAGCGTCAGCCTGCGGACTGAAGGGTCCCAGGTTCGATTCTGGTCAAGGGCATGTACATTGGTTGCCGGCACATCCCCAGTAGGGGGCGTGCAAGAGGCAGCTGGTTGATGTTTCTCTCTCATCAATGTTTCTAGCTCTCTATCCCTCTCCCTTCCTCTAAAAAAAAATCAATGAAAAATGAAAAAAAGAGAATTACCATATTAAAAAAGAATCCACCTTGATCCAGTCTGTGGCAGAAACTGGCCAGTGTTCCCCATGCATTTTAATGATTCAGAGGAGGAAACGGAGGCACAGGGGCCCGGGACTGCCAAGTCGGCGTCGGGACACACCTCCAAACACCTCTGAGCGCCCACTCCCGCCTCCCTGGCCGTTATCACCAGGGAAGGTGCCAGGCTGCCCCGTGGGATCGGAGGCGGTACCGATCCAGGCACCTGGGCCAGGGGCCGTTCCCGGAACTGCCGATAAGGGCTCCCACCTGGGCTCTTATCTCGGGAACATTCCTCCCAGCTGGTTACTCATTACCCGTGGCCCCTCCGTGCGTGCGCGGGGGGCCCTGCGGGGTGCAAGGCGGAGGGCAGGGAAGCAGGCCCCGTCCTCCCCGGTCCCCACTCAGCGCCAGACACCGCGTGTGAAAAAGCTTTTAATCAGGACCCGGAGGCCGGTCTGGGGTGCACAGGAAGGTGGGGTGACACCTGATTTCACCTCGAGGCTTCAGGGACCAGTGGGGCTTGGAGTGGGCGTGTGGGGGAGGCCTCAGGATGAGCGGGGGCAGGCGGCCCCTTTGGGAGGAGACAGAGGCCCTGTGTGGTATGCTCCCTACCCCCCACCCAGCAAGGACACAAAGGCCGCTCTGTGAGGCTGGCCCTCCAGCCAGTGGGGTGGGGCGGGGCCGGAGGCATGGCCATCGGGTCCGGAGTGGCAGTGGGGGGTGGGGGGCAGCAGGTCAGGGCCCTCGGGACACCCAGGTCCCAGAGCACGCCTGGCCTTCCTCCCATGTCTGTCCAGCAGAGGTGTGGAGGGTTTCGGGGCAGCTTAGGTCCGTCCGTCCGTCATGGGCAGGACCAGGCGCCGGGCGGGGGCGAGCTCTGTGCCTGGGCTCCTCCTGGGCAGTGAGCGGCCTGGGGCTGGGCGGGTCCTGAGCCCAAACTCAGCCGCTCACACCTTGACCTCGTCGTCCTCCTCGGCATCAGCGAACTCGAAGGTGTTTGTCTGCACCGTGCTGGGCACAGGGGCCCGCCTGGCCGCCTGGGGCGCCCCCCACTCCTCATCCAGGCTCTCCCAAGAGGCCCGGCCCTGCGGCAGCACCTTCACCAGCTCCTGCCGGGCATCCATCTCGGTGTAGTGGCGGCTGCCCCGGCTGCCGCTCCAGCCGGCTCCCCAGGGCCTGCCGGGGGCCATGTCAGCAGGGGCCCGGGGACACTCTCCCACAGGGTCGGCCCTCGCCGCAGCCACTGGGCCAGACCCAGCCGTTACCCCATTGGGGCAGCGTCCACAGGCTGGGGGGCTTGTGGCAGGGGCTGGGGGGCTTGCGGCAGGGGCTCGGGGGCTTGTGGCAGGGGCTGGGGGGCTTGAGGCAGGGGCTAGGGGACTCGCAGCAGCGGCTGGGGCTGGAGTCTCCGCTGCAGAGCCTTCTGAGAGGCTCATGACCCCCAGCAGCTCACTGAGGAGAGACGGCCCCAGGTCGAGGTCCAGGCGGAAGGACTGGAGGGAGTCAGAGCGGCGAAGCTCGGGTTCAGAGGGGAAGGAGGCACTGTCATGGTCTCGGTCACGAGGCTTTTCTGGGCGGGCCACGCGGGCGATGGTGCAGAACCCGGAGTCCACACCTAGGAGGGAGATGGGGAGCGGGGTCAGAGCTGGGGTCCCTGACCAGCACCTGGGGAGGGGAGCGCCTGCCACGTGCCCTCTCCCAGCAGGTCTCTCCCCCATCTGGACCCAGTTCCTCCCATCTTTCCAGGATGGGGATCCCAGCGGTCTCTCACGGGACCCTGGCAGCTGACCCCTGACATAATCCTCACCCCCATTTTGCAGATGAAGAAAGTGAGGCTCAGAGGGGAAGGGCTTGACGGGGGCCACAGTCTGATGCGGTAGAACCCAGCCTGAGGCACAGATCTCCCTCAGTCTCAGTTCCCACTGTGAACTTGGCCTGACAGGTGGCTGATGCTGAAGGTGGACCCACAGGATGTGGGCTGGTCACCGTGATGAAACCAGCAGCCAGGGTCTGACCCCTGGAAGTCACAGACTCAGAGGATGCCCTCCAGAAGTCCAGCCCCGCCTCCCCTCAGCCCTCAGCGGGGGTTCTCGGCAGAGATTCTCAGCAGAGACCCATGGGGGAGCACTGGAGGCATCCGGGATTGGTGGGGCAAGGCTGCAAGGCAGGGAATGGCCACTAGGTGGCAGCAGCAACCAGAACCCTGGTTCCCAGGTGAGCTGTCCAGGGGCACCAAGACAGCGCCTGTCTCTCGCTCCCTCCCCACCAGGGCAGGGCGGGCCTCTGGCTTCTGCCCATGTGAGTAGTTGTCCAGGTTTGTCTGTGTATTTTGGGGAGTGGGCTGGTTCCCACCCTCTGACCCCTCCTCACCCCTCCACGGGGTGGGGTTTGGGCCTGGCCTCCATGGGGAAAAGAGACCCCCTGGGAGGCGTGTTGAACCCTCTGGGTCCGAGCATCGGACAAACGGGCCGATCGCCCCGGCGCTCACCGTAACTGGAGTGGCCGTCCGCGGAGCCGGCGGGGCTGCTGTTGAAGCTGAGCTTGCTCACCACGAGGCTGTCGTAGGCGGCCTGGTTGAGCTGGGGCAGGGAGATGGCGTTCTTGATGATGGGGGAGACGGCGGGCGGAGCCGGCGAGGCCGACGACGAGGGCGGGGTGGCTAACCGCCGGGGCAGCGCCCCCACGCGGCGCACCTGCTGCAGCTTCTTGGCCAGGAAGCTGCGGGGCGAGCGGTGGCTGCCCCCGGAGCTGCCCCCGTGGTTGCTGAGGAAGGAGGTGTCGCCGAAGACGTCCCCGCCGCGGCCCACGTGCATGGTGTGCCGGAAGTCCCCCAGCGGGGGGCTGATCATGTCTGCCGTCAGCCGCCTCTTCCCGTGCGAGCTGGACACCCAGCCCACGGGGGAGAGCTTGCCCAGGCTCATGGTGGGGGCTCCTCCGGCCCCCTGGGGGCCCGGCATCAGCTCCGGCAGGTCACAGGTGCTGGTCCATGCCCAGCTGGGGCCTGGGGCGGGCGGCGGGTCCGTGGCAGTGCCCTCCTCCTCGGTGTCCGGGGCGGACGGAGGCTGCCCCTGTTCTCCTAAGGTGCTGCCCCCAGAGGCCGAGGCTGCGGGGGGCCCATGGCCGGTCTCTCCCTGCGGCCTGGCTCCTGGCCCCGTGCAGTCAGCTGCGGGTGATCTGTCCAAGGACGGGGCAGGCACGCCTGTGGGCAGCCCCTCTCCTGCCCAGCTGGGGACCTGAGAGAAAGAGAGAAAGGGGATGGTGGGCCTGGGGACTCCGGGCCAAATAAGAAACACCGAAGAGCCCTGACCGGTTTGACTCAGTGGCTAGAGCATCGGCCTGCGGACTCAGGGATTCCGGGTTCGATTCTGGTCAAAGGCATGTACCTTGGTTGCGGGCACATATCCAGTAGGGAGTGTGCAGGAGGCAGCTGATCGATGTATCTCTCTCATAGATGTTTCTAGCTCTCTCCCCCTCTCCCTTCCTCTTCATAAATGATCAATAAATAAAATATATTAAAAAAAACACACACAAAGGAACGCCAAAGGGAATACGCTGACAGCCAACAACAGGGAGGACAAGGGAGAGACCTGACGGAGTGCTGACATGAGTCCGCAGACAGGAAACGGAAGCGCAGGCCAAACTGGACAACCGAGGCAACATCGGAGCTGTGGTTGCCTTTGACAGGTATCGATGGGGAGTACCAAGCTCACAAAGCTGCACATGTATGTGGCCACTCCACAGGGCCCATTTACGAAGCACCTACTACGTGCCCATGCTCATCACGCATGTCACTCACACAGCAGCCCTGAGGGAGCGCTACGTTAGAGGGGAGACACGAAGCCAGCGGAGTGAAGGGACTTACCTGAGGCTACGCAGGAGGACATGGGGAGGCAGGGCCCCCTCACCCCAGATCCCTGAACCCCAAGCGACAATGCCTCCCGCAGGCAGGTGGAACAAGGCACCTCCCTTCTCTGTGGGTTCAATTGTCCGCCCGTCTGTCTGAGCGGCCAGGAGGGAGGGTGCCTGGCACAGCCTCGGTGAGGGGCTGTGTAAACAGCCCACACAGAGGTTCTAAGGACCCTCCACCTTCAAGGTGCTTCCTGAAAAAGGGATCTTGTGCTCCCAAGTGGCTTTTTCCAGATGTCTCCTGCCGGCCCGGGGCTCGGAGGCGGCGGCAGGAAAGGCCTTTGTCATCGCTGGTCACAGTGATGTATGTGGGAGCCTTGTCATCAGGGAACGCGTTTAGGAAAAGCTCAGCTGGCACCAAAAGCGAGCATTCCCTGCCCACTGCCTCCCCTCCGGATCTCATCACAATCTTCCCAGGACTCCTCTGGGTCCGACCCTATCCCTGCTCGTATCTCAGAAAGTGCTGGCTGACGGGCACCGATGGGCCTCTGGTCCAACCTCCGTCTCCCTGGCGCCCAGAGATGGCCACGCTTGCTCAAGGTCACATGAAGAGAGCCAGTCGAGACTTGAACTCGGAGCCGCTGACTCACAGAGCCTCTGACGGGCTCCCGGGGCCCAGTCTTGTCTCCCTGGGTTGGCAGCACTCACGGAGGGCGGGGCACCTGCCTGGCTTTTCCGGCCTTCCTCCTTCCCGGCACCCAGCTCGGTCCCTGCGCGTGGCCAGCGCTAAACCAACACCGGTGTAATCGGGAGGTCTTGGTGCTGCAGGATAACCTTGGCGCTACAAGATCACCCCTGCTCCCTTCCGAGGAGGGGACCTGGGGGACTCGGTGGCTCCCCAGCGACCTTGGGCGAGTCACTTACCTGCAGGTGCCCGGGACCTCAGCTGACAAGAGCTGATAATCATCTCTAGCAAGAACACCTAGATCTGAGCCTCAACTTTTTTTTTTCTTTCCAACTTTGCTGCCACCACCTCCAAGCGTAAAAATCTCAACACTGCCCTTTGAATGTTATTTGAAATTCAAAATAGGTTAAATAACAAGATAAAAACAAAGGTGGCCCTAAAACAAAGCTTGCTTTGTGTTGGGACTGCATTCTCTTTCCTTCCCACCATCTGATCCTCCCCCAACCCTAACTCCTCCCCTGGGGGGGGGGTCTGAATCATCCCTTCCCCTGGCACCCCTGGCACCGAGAAGCCCGCGAGGAATGTTTGCTGTGGCTGTGAGGCCGCTGCAGTTGGCCAGCCGTTACGTGATGTCACCTGATTCTCCAACAGCCCCGTGAGCGGAGGGTCAGCCCGCCTCACAGGGAGAGCGGGGTTCGGGGGCAGGGGCTTGGCCAAGGTCACAGGGCAGGGGCATGGCACAGGCCAGCTTAGCCAGGGATGGGTGTCTGGAAGAAGACACTGGGGTGAGGGGATCATTCTGAACTGTCGTGCGGAGGGGTCACCGTGTCTGCTCTGTGGCCACACCCACTTCTCTCCTCGCCCCCCAGCTTCCTGGCTTCTTTTTTCCTTTAAATATATAATATTTGTATTGATTTCAGAGAGGAAGAAGAGGGACAGAGGGAGAGAAACATCCGTGATGGGAGAGAATCATTGACTGGTTGCCTCCTGCATGACCCCCTACTGAGGATCTAGTCCACAACCCGGGCATGTGCCCGTGACCGGAATCGAACCTGGGACCCTTCAGTCCGCAGGCCGGCGCTCTATCCACTGAGCCAAACCGGCTAGGGCCTTCCTGGCTCCTTGAAGCAGCTGCTCCTCTCAGCCAAAGGGGTTTCCTGCCAAACCCCCGTGGCCACTGTGACTTACTTGGGAGACCAGCCTGTGCCCCAATCTTGTGAGGACCCCCCTCCCAATGCCTCGGGGCCCTCCTGCCACTGCAGTAGAGAGACCCCGCCACGCTGTGGGGCCAAAGGCAGGACATGATACCAGGGACTTGTTTTTCCCCCATAGAAATGAGAACAGCACTGAGGCTGGCCCCTCCCGGGAGCGCTCTGAGAGGGGAAGGTGTAGTAATTAAACCCTAGACACTGGGCCAGGGTCAATTTAGGTTCAGATCCAACCTCCTCATACTGACGTCTCTCATTCTGGGGACTCTACTCAATGGGGACCACAGGGCAGGGCTGACCCCCGGGTGCCCCGTCTGGCCCGGGAGTAAGCAGGGCTCTTGGTGTCCTGCGGACAAGTCCTACCTGCCTTCACGAGCCTTGGAATACTACCTGCTGACGGCCACATCATTCATTTCACAGATGAAAAAACAAGATACAGAAGGGAATTAGCTTGCCCCGGGCCACAGAGCCGAAAAAGCGGAGTGTCTGGGAGTTTCCCAGCATTCAACCAACATCAGCAGTACCCGCCAGGGGAGGGGTGGGTGGAGACTCCGGGGGTGTGAGGGAGCGTTGGGGGACACCCTGGCCAGCCTCCCCGCCTGGGAAGGGCATGTCCGGGAGGCAGGCAGCTCAGCTCTATACATTCAGGCAAGACTGGTCACCACGCAACAGCCTCGGGGTTCCAGGAATCCTTCTATTTACCGACAGAGGAGAGTCAGGCCTGAGCACATGGTAGGCGGTTACTCAATGGTGGTAAATGACCGCACAGACAGGGTTTGAGGCCCCAGGCCGGGACGGTGTACCAGGGGCGGCCGATAGGGGCCGCTGTGGAGACACATGTGGTGGAAGGAGGCCCGGCGCCGAGCGGAGCGCGTCTGGCTGCGGGGAGGCAGCGGCGCGCGCGGGGGCGGCCGCACTCGGGCGCTCCCCTAAGAGCCACCCAGTCTGCGGGGTCCCCCAGCCTGCGGGGTCCCCCAGGCCTCTGCCTCGCCTCCTGGAGGCCCGTCGCGTGCACCAGCCCCCTCCCTGCTGGGTGACGCCACGCCAGCCGATGGACGGAGGGACCCTATCTTGATTAGGGCCCCTGTAAAGGGGCAAACTCCGGGGGACAGGGGAGAGGTTGGCTTCTCAAAGGCCAGCCGTTTCAGGGTGGAGAGACGTGGAAACTGAGGCCAGAAAGGAGTGGCAAGCTGTCTGAAGTCTCCGCGGGGGCCCGGGCCGGGAGCTGTGTGTGTGTGTGTGTGTGTGTATGTATCTGTGTTTGTATGTGTATGTATGTACGTGTATATGTGTGTGTGTAGGGGAGTCGCTTCTAGCCCCCCCCCCCACCCCAAGTTAGAGCCCAGGCAGTCCTCCCCGGGCGAGGGGGGGAGGCTGCGGGCCGGGACGCACAGACCCGGCGCCGTCCCCGCGCGCTCCGGGCCGCGGGCGCCCCAGGCCGGGCCCCGGGCCCCCGGAGCCAGCCGCCCCGTCCGGACCGCGGGCTGCAGACGGCGCGGCGGGGACCAGGACGGAGAGTCTCTCTCCAGGCGGCGGGCCCGGAGGTCCGGGAAGGACTCAGACACACACATGCCCGGGGCAGCGGCTGGAAGGCGCAGGGTCGCTCCCGGGAGCGGGAAGGGGACCGCGGGCTCCGGGGCTGCGTGGCCGGAGGGGGACCGGACGGGATGACCTCATCCGCTGCCCGGCCTGGAATGCAGCGGCTGGGGAGGGGGCAGGGTGCTCCGTCCATTCCCCCCATTTCCCGCTCTCCGCGCCGGCCGCGAGGAGCCGGCGTTCCCACCCGCGGCCCCCTCCCCGCTCCGCCCTTCCCTTCCCTTCCCGGCGGGAAGGCGCTTAGACGGCCCTCTCGGCTCGCCCCCTCCCCCTGCCGCCCCGGGTGCCGTCTCCCCCCCCTCCCCTGGCCCCTGCCCGTCTCCTCCAGCCGGGGACGTGGCAAAACCGCCCCAAACTTGAAGGGTCCCCGCGCTCTCCATGCCCGGCGCTCCGGGCCTTCCTGTGGGCACCGCGCGCCCTCCCCGCCCCGGGAGCCCAGGAGGGTGCAGCGTCTCGGGGCGCCGGGTCCCCCCGCCGCGTCCGCCCACCCGGGGCCCGCGGGCCGCTGGCGGTTACCTTCTCTCGGCGCCCCGGACGCGGTGGCGGCGGCGGGTCCCGGCGCGCAGCGGGGCGGGTGGCCGGGCCGGTCTGCGCCGCCCTGGCTGCGGGCTCGGCGGGCTGG